TAAAAATGGTACATGGGAATTGGTGGATCTTCCTGAGAAGGAACCAGTTGGATATAAATGGGCATTTATAGTAAAACATAGGGCTGATGGCACAGTGGAGCGGTATAAAGCTCCCTTAGTGGCAAAAGGGTTCACTTGAGTGTATTGGGTGGATTATGTAGAAACTTTTGTACCGGTTGCTAGGATGAACTCCATTAGGGTTCTTTTTTGTTTAGCTGCTAATTTCAATTGGGACCTTCACCAACTGAATATCAAGAATGCATTTCTAAATGGTGATCTTGAAGAAGAAGTGTACATGGTACAACCCCTTGGTTTCTGGGTTCAAGGTAATGAACAAAAGGTATGCAGGTTGAAAAAGTCGTTATATGGATTGAAATAATCACCAAGAGCTTGGTTCAGTAGATTCTAGGTAGCTGTACAACAAAAAGGCTACCAGCAATGTCAATCTGATCATACATTGTTTGTGAAAATAGGGGAAGGGAAAATTGTAGCCCTAATAGTGTATGTTGATGATATAGTTATCACTGGTGATTGGAAAGATGAAATTCAAAAATTGAAGGGATTTCTTGCTACTCAGTTTGATGTGAAAGATCTAGGTCCTTTGAGATACTTCATTGGAATTGAAGTTGACCGCTCACGAACGGGTATCTTCATTTCTCAGAGAAAGTATGTCTTAGATCTATTATAGGATATAGGAAAATTGGGAGTGAAACCCATTGATTCTCCTATTGATCCTAATCACAAATTAAGTGATTGTCAGGGTGAATTCATTAAAGATGTGAAGAAATTTTAGAGGATTGTAGGAAGACTGCTATATCTCTCCATGACTCGGCTAGATATTGCTTATCAATGGGTGTTCTTAGTCAATTCATGCATGCCCCTAAGACCACACCACCTTGAAGCAGCTGAAAGAATTGTCAGATAACTTAAAAAATTCCCAGGTGCAGGTTTATTATTCCAAAAGCACGGGCATTTGAAGGTTGAAGTGTATACTAATGCAGATTGGGCAGGATCACTAGATGATAGGAAGTCTACCAACGACTTTTGTACCTTTGTGGGAGGAAACCTAGTCACATGGAGAAGCAAAAAGCAGAATTCGGTGGATAGGTCTAGTGTTGAAGCTGAATATAGAGCAATGTTTCATGGAGTGGTTGAAATAATGTGGCTAAAAAATTTGTTGAGTGAGCTGGGATTTATAGTTGATGGACCTATGACTTTATATTGTGATAACAAGGCAGCCATAAACATTGTTGCTAACCCAGTAGCGCATGATAGAACCAAGCACATTGAGGTAGACAAGCATTTTATCAGAGAAAAGGTTGTCAAAAGGGAAGTGTGCACCCCCTATGTCAGGTTCGAAGATCAACTTGTGGACATCTTCACAAAAGGGTTACATCACTTGCGGCATAATGATCTATGTGACAATTTGGGCATGATTGACATCTATGTCCCAACTTGAGGGGGAGTGTTAAAAGGCTGTTTATAGGCTGTTTGTTTTTTGTTTTATTTCTGTTTAGTATTGTAGGGTACTGTTGTAATTCCCCCTCTTTTATATTATGTTATGATCGCCCTAATATAAATACCAAAAAAGCTGGTGCCGCCAGCATTGAGTTTTTGCTCAAAGATCTCTCTTTTCTCCTCTTTTATATTCTTGCATGTTGATGCCCCTCCTAGAGCTAAAGTTGTGAATGAAGAATTTCAACCTACAGAAGTTGTAAACATTTAAGATCAGAAGGGTGCTAGCCAAGAGAATATTATAATTGTTGAAGAAGGAACTTCCAACACCCATGGTCAGCTTGAGGCTAATGATCAAGAAGAGATAGAAGTGGAGCAAGTTGAAGAAATTCAGTTGCAAGATGCAAATGTGTTGGTTGTAGTAGATGTTAGTAAGGAAGTAAGTCATGACTTTACCTTACAAGTTCAACTGGAACCAATTCAAGAATTACAAGTTGATGTAGTACAAGTTCCACCAACATTGTTGATGGTGGAAGAAGTTTAAGGAAGAAGTTCCACCAACCTTACAAGTTCAACAAGTTGATGTAGTGGAAGAAGTTCAAGAGTTTGCTGAAGAACCAAGGGTAGCTGGACACATAGAGATGGAGATTTATCAACTAGAGGTTGAAGGAAAACTTCCAAATGCTGCAGTTGAGATTTTGGACATGAAAGTTCTTGGTGATAAGCAAAGGGAAGATTCACCACAAGATAGGCTGATTGATGATGTAAGTGTTCAAGAAGCTAACATTATTGATGATTTAATAAAGGCTATGGAAGGCAGTATTTCGGACATATATTGCTTTCAAGATCCATTTATAGCTATGTGTGTGACATGTACTATACAGTCCAAGTGTGTTGAAATAGTTATGGGAATTACTACTACTTTTGTCATTGAGGTACATCAACTTTTCATCCTCGAGTTCTTTAAAACTTGAGGACGAGTTTTTTGAACCAGGGGAGAATATGGGTATTTTCATCATTTTAACTAGTCCTCTGGGGGCCTTGGTTATAAAATCTTATTCCTTTAGTTTAGTAGGGATTGTCTTTCAATTTTCAGTTATTGTGTTTCTTGATGCACAAGACAAAGAATGGCATTTTTGTAATTATGGTGAACAGTATTCCGGGCCACACAAGTCACATGCATTCTCTTCCTTTTGAAGCTAATGAATGAAAGAATGAAGATTTCTTAAGAGCTCTCTTGCTGTATGGAGTGATTCCTACAAACCCTAGAGTGATTCTAGGACCGCTTGGAGTGATTCCTTGGGATTTCTCTCTTTTCTCTTTCTGTACCCATTCTACTCTCTCTCTCTCTCTCTCTCTTATTCTCTCACTTCGGTTTTCTGCTAAGGCTGATTCAATAGTTGGAATTTTTAACATTACTTTCCTCACTGTATACCAAGGAGTAGGACTGAGATAGAGTGACACTGTCTTTGGTAAGAAGTTGCTGTCTCACAATGTCATATTCTGAATTTAACCCAGCAAGAACTCAAACACCCTATTAGTCTCAACCAATTTTCTATGTGTTGTTACATCCTTTCAACTTTCCCACTCAATTGTTTCCAAATGATCAACTTCATGCCATAATGATTTAAGGTAGAGAAGTAAACTGAAATTGGTTTTTCCCCCTGTTTAAGATTATTCACTTCACCCTTCAGCTAATATGCCCTATCAACATTAAGAGGTTGAGAATAGGTCTCCTTCATGTTCTCCCAAACCTCCTTGGCTTCCTTCACCCATAAATAGTTCCTAGGCTGCACAGAATTACACAACAAAGTCATTACCAAATAATTCTTGAACCCATTTGGCATGAGATGGATCTTCCTTGGCTGGTTTCTTAGTGTGTCCAGTCACATAACCTAGCTTCGCTCTTCCTCCAATAGCCATCATGGCTGACTCAGCCCATTCCAAATAATTTGCGTTGTCAAATTTAACTGTTGTGACCTGAAAGCCCCAATAGAACCTTCTCCATGTGGTTTCATCTCATTCCATGTTGTCTCCATGTCAAACACAGCACCTATGGTTCACAACAGTCCTTAAAGAATGCTAGGTAGGTCAAAATTCCAGAAAATACAAAACAATCCCCTAACAGCTCTTCAAGAGTGTATTCAATCACAGGAAGTGAATAAAAGCAGAAAAAACTGATCTAGGATTTTCAGGAAACCCTAGAATAGGTCTGGAGAACAATAAAAATGCAGCCGCTCCTTTCAGAATAGTGTAAACAACTTCCAATCACTTTCGATCTCAACAGAAACCTAAAATCTGCCCCGAAAAACCTGAGCACCACTTCCAATCTGGAGTTTAAGCTCTAAACTCTAAGTGTACACAACACTCCGAGCAGCAATAGAAATCTCCAGCAACCTCCAAGAACCAGGCAAAAAATGTTGAACTTCCAGACCTAATAAGTTCTAATGCAGCCAGCTGGATTAAAACTACATTAGAACCCTAATCAGCCATAACCTTTCTCTGATACCAAGTTGGCCGCAACATTGATGGCCAAATCTAGTTTAGGTTATATTTCAGCACAGAAAATAAATAGAAAAGAAAGGGAAAAGTGCAGAATAGAGAGAGAAGAGAGAACACAGAGAAAAGGAAGAGAAAGGGGAGCAGAAAAGAATAGTACTGCTGCCCCACTCATCGCTATTTATATGAGCAAAAATAAAAAATGAGTACAATGACAGAAGTACCCTGCCACCTATAACAGGGAACAAAAGTACTGCATAACAGCAAATAAAAAATCTATAATATAAATAAAAACAATAAAAAATATTGTGGGGACCACTATTAAGTTTGATCCACTGTATTTTTACATTTTTATTTTACTGTTTGTGTTTCTGTTGGGTGGCAGGGGTATAATGGTCTTTGTAATTCTCTTTCTATTTATAAACATATAAATACCAGTGATGGGGCTCTAGGATCACAGAACTGCACCCCTTTTTTATTATCTTTTTCTCTTCTTCTTTTCTCCCCTTCTCTCTCTCTCTCTTGCTGATTTCTAATCAGATTACAGGACTGTCAGAAACTTCATCCAAGTAAGTTTTATGTTGACTATTCCTGACATAACCCCCTCTATCTAGACGAAGAGTGGCAGTACAAGATAGGTTTGGCACTAGTGGATTTCATGAGATTATTTTCGTTAAAGACCAAAAAACTCAACTCAACTATCAACTAATCTCTATCCTAGTCGATTACATGAATCCTGTTCTGCAATTTCACTCCATCACGAGCCATTTCTTCAGTCAAAGTGGTATCTCCTCTTGTTATTTCTGAGTACCTCAACCCATGTCCTCTTTGGCCTTCCCCTTTCTCTTTCAGCTCCTTATATATGGACCAAGCCATCTTTTTTTTTCTTTTTCACTATTGTTTAAATGGGAACCACCAGTTGATTTGTCTCTTTTCACTTCTCTTGTTAATAGATCTTTGTATTTCACCTATGATTTCATGTCATGTCACTTAAATAGATATAGCAATATTTTGACCCTGTAGACACAATTTCTTATCCAATGTAGTGTGACAAAGATAAAGATTTTGGATGCAAGTGGACCTCCTGGACTCCCAAGCTTGCTTCCTGGAGCTTCAGAAACATTGATAACCACAGGGATTTCTGCTCTGAGCTTTTCCCCTGATGGAGAGGTATGCTAATTCAGTGAATACATTCCATATGAATAACATCTATATTATGTTTATATGAGCGATGCTCTGTTGAATATGTTTGATCTATGCACATAAGCACATTTTCATGCATTGGCAATAAAAACACATTGGGAATATGATACAGCTAGGTTAGTATTACTAGTTTCTTTTCATCCTTCACCAATGCGAATATTCCTCTTCATAGATATGTGCCTATTTTCTAAATAAAAAGAATATCTTAATGCTACTTCCATTTTTATGATTGAACTAGTTCAAGCCTAAAGAATGCTGATGTGAGTTTCTTTGGGGAAATCTGGAGTCTTCTTGGAAGAATATGACATTGCAGTTGGTGATGTTTTTTTCATTGTGAATAAACTGCAGTTTTGGAAGCTCATTCTTACATCCATAATTTATGTTAATTGAAAATGATTCCAGAGTAGACCTTATATCATTTTGGTGAAAAAAATGTTTTATGTTTTTTAAACTTCTTTGGCCTTTTCTTCACTTTTTGGTCCTGTGCTTGTCCAAATGTGTGTGTGAATTTTCTTAAAATGGCTTTCTAAAATGTGAATTTTCTTAAAATTGCTTCTTTTACTTGAATTGATTTTAACTCCAGGCACAAGTGTGGGGATGGTATCAATAGATTGGGGCTAAATTTGTCATATACTAGCATTTTTTTTTCTGCTATTCTGACAGTTGTCTTGTAGTTACAGGGTCTAGTAGCTTTTTCTGAGAATGGGTTGATGATTAGGTGGTGGTCACTGGGATCTGCATGGTGGGAGAAACTCAGCCGAAACTTAGTCCCTGTTCAATGCACCAAAGTGATATTTGTACCTCCTTGGGAGGGGTTCTTGCCTAATTCTTCTAGGTCAAGCATAATTGCAAACATAATGGGAAATGTTAAACAGGTTAATTCACAGGTTGGTTGTCCTTTTTTTCACTTTTCTGTTATATTTCTGCTAGATGAGAATGGTGTTGCACTATAGTAATACTAGTAGTAGACTCATGCTAGAAGTCCATAAGCATGGCACGAAGAACATTTCACGTCTGAAAGACACCTAACAATTTATTCATTAGGCCAGGGTGCTGCTGATGGTAGATCAATTTTTACAAACTAAATGTGAGAATGTAGACTGGGTAGGACCGTAGGAAAAAAATTGAGATGGAGAATTAAGGGTAAAATATGAAAGGCAGTTAGCTAGACTGTCTAATGATGTTGTCCAATAGTGATTTTGGTGATAAAAAATTAGAATGAAGCCAAAATAAGGAACAAAGAAATATTTTCTCTATAGAGAGGAACAAGTCAAACAACCAATTAGTAAATAAAGAAAACGATAAAATAAAAAAAAAAGATAAAGGAGAAGAGGTAGGTAGATAGAGAGCATGGGGTTGCTTGGTGTAATTTTAAAATTTTGGGCTGACAAGACCCCAGAGTTGGGATCAACATTGGGTAATGACCTTTTCAGAGAGAAAGAGACAGACATACTTTCAGACAGACAGCAGGGAAGCTAACATATAATCCATTGGTGTATTTAAATATGGAGCCTACACTCCTAATATGACAACATATATGATATATCCACTACAAATCTTACTAAAACTAAATAAACTAAACGCAACTTAGTAAAATGTCTATTAATCCCTCAAAATATATTGGATTCACAACATCTTGTTCTTGTTTATAGGTAGTTGAAACACTTTCCTAGTGACACCACAATCAAGTTTGGACAAATCTTGACCCCTAAAACTTAGGCTGCAAGACAAGTGATGAACTTACAACTTAAGCTTTAGATTATAGAAATTCTCCAATAAATTCTTTAAATTATTTTTGTCCTTTAAGATAATTAGAAGAAAACCAATCTAACAATTTCTTAATTGTGTAACAAGAAAAATAAGCAAGAAGAAGAGGGAAGGAGCTGTTCAGGAGAAAGAAGAAGAAATTGGAAGAAAAGAGGAAGAGAGGAGAAGAGAAAAGATCCCTCTCTCATATCCTTAATCCCTTTATATATGTGCTGGAATAAATAAGAGAAATTACATGGGTGCTCCTGGTTAGGCGGCTTACCGAAAAAACATAAGAAATAAAGGTGTTAACGTTGCATAGAGACAGCCCATTACAGAAGAAATAAAAACAGTAAATAACCGAACCTAACTGAGGCCCATTCGGCCCAATCTCTCTACATAATTAAACCTAGACCTGGCAATTGGGTTGGGTGGGTCGGGTTCGGGTTGGGTCGAGGTATTTCGGGTTGATTTCAGGTCGGGTTGAATTTCGGGTTGGGTTGTCAAATGCTAGACCCTAACCCTAAATATTTGGGTTAGGGTTGACCCATGGGTCAATTCGGGTCATCCCAAAAAATAATTGAAATTAAAAAAAAAATAAAGAAGAATTACATGAAAAATGTAAAAATTAAAAGAATTAACCTTAAAATTCCAAATATAAAATAAAAAACTTGAACATTTAACATTTAAAGAGTAAACAATAAAAAGTAGAGACTGAATAGAAAAAATTTAAAGAGTGGAAACTTCTAACAATGCATAAATAATCCCAATTAGACTTGACAATCGGGTCAACGGGTTGACCCATGACCCAACCCAACCCAACCCAATTTTTTTCGGGTTGGGCTGGGTCGGGTCATTTTCACATTCGGGTAGAAAAATATGAGATCCTAACCCTGTTTTTTTGAGTTGGGTTGGGTCAACTTTTTGCCAGGTCTTATTAAACCTATTCCTATAACACTTGTCAACAAGAACTTGGGCTCCATTTGTGTTGTAAGGATTTGACTTCGAGCAGAATTGCTATCCATCCTCCAATGCTTAAGATTGTGTAGGTATTTGGGTTACAAGCCTACAACAAGATTATAGTGGAAGGGGACTTGCAGGTGACCATTTACTGGTTGACAGTGCGGATGTAGACACTTGGCTTCTTTGGTACCAGATTAGGGAGGTTAGAGCTTTGGCTTCTAGTCTGGAGGCTAGTATCTGTTGGGTTCCTAGATTGGCAAATAACTTCACTAACACTCTAGCTAGTGATGGTGCATGTAGACAATCTCTTTTTCGGGGCATATACCCCCTGAGTAATGCTTTGGGTACTATGTGAGGAGAGTAACATAGGGCTAGTTCTTTTCTTTCAGATGGATGTGGGCTAATACCCCCTCTGTATTGTGTCTCTGCTTGTACTCAATGTTCTTGTGACTTAAATTCTTAACAGTTACCAAGAAAATGGATGCTCATAAATTAAGATTGAAGGGATGAGAGATCCCTCATATGGATGGCCGAACCCTGCAGGAAGGTAGGGCAAAATTTCAAAAATTTTCTCTCTCCCATCTGGGAATCACATTCCCTATTTTAGAAAACTGCTTTTCAAGGATCAATCTTGAACCAAGAATCGAACCAGATCTGAACAAATTCAGTAGGAGAGGGATATACCTGATACGAAGATGCAGTATCTCCCAACGAAGGTGTTCACGCCCAAAGAAAAAACTCCAAAGACTGCTCCCACTGAAGATGACACAGCGAATGGTGGAGCAGAATCAGTAGGGTCCGTTCAACGAACCAAATTCTTCAGCAAGAATTTGATGGAGGCAGTGAGCACGACTTCTGATCAGCCTTTCTCCAAAGACTGATATCAAGACTCTTCTTGATCGCTCCTACAATGGAGATCGAACTGGCAGTATGGCGGCAACTGGAGGAGAACGCAAGAGCAGAAGATGGCATAGCTGTCTTCTCTCTTGGTGATCTGAGAT